CAGAACTTGTGACTCAGTCATTACATAGATATTGTTATAAAAAAAACACTGTATATAATAGTAAAGTTCTGATAACCTATTGAGGAGATATTTAAAATACTATTTTGATGAACAATCTGAGTCATCCCTACATAGACAGTGCTACTGCCTGCCTGATTTTTTCCTTGTAACTGCCAATAAGAACATGGGAAACCGAATATGGAAAATATTTGCTCTTTGAGATAGCTGCAAGTTATCTCCCACACATACGCTCAAGTAGAACATATTGCAATTATCCCATGAAATAGCAAATAAATTCCTTGACCAATCAAGCTACAAAAAAGTAAAACTTCAGGTTTTACTTAGCGAAATCTTAAACTGTGTAGATATAAAATATACATTATGGGAGATTAAAGTATGTTCTAGTTTCATACTACATATATACATCGTATGTATAATACACAAGTTTTGAAATGTAGTTAAACATATATGTAAAGCTAATGTCAGCTAATGGTATTTTAGATAAGTTCATTTTTAGTGACTTTTATTTGCTTCACCTCCTTATTATTGTATAATTATGTTTTTGCAATGATTTTTTCATAGGTTTTGAAGGCTAATGTTCTCTTTTCTTATATCAGAATTATGTTTATTTTTGTTATGATCACTTACCTCCACTCACATTTACAGCTATCCTCGATTTGACTGATTTCACTCACCACTAGCCTTGAAACTGCATTATAGCATGCAAATGAGCATGCAACAATCCTCCACCAATAGGAGTGTGACACACCCTCCCATTGCAGCTGACTCCTTCTATGCAGTTGAACCCAATCCTCACTTCTCAATTTGGCACGGCAGTGTTCAGATGTTAGTTTATTACAAGAATTGTTTCACTTAGTACATCTTGGCTTGTGACTACATGACTTTGTTTCTAAGTGTCAACAACTTTTGCTTTTGAGTTTAAATTTAATTATACATTTTTTCTTTGTTTTGTTTACTCCATACATTGCCATGTGTTCCGAAAACACTCACCAGTTGTCACACACAGTGTTATGAATTCACAATTTTAACTAACAACAACTAAAGCTTCAAGCATTACCGATGACCAACAACCTATTCAAATGGCTGCTGGTTTGGTGTTATCGGCCTTCAAATGTTGGGAAATGGCTTCTTTCATATGGGCCAGAGGATCTCCTGAATGGCAATTGCTCCTCACCTTCACTGGTGATTTGTAACAGGACAACAAGGACTTAAACCGCTTTCCCCCCTTTTTTTACCATGCAATCTCATTTACAACCTGTAGAAGTGCTTACACCTTCTTCACCATTTTTTGAATTAATATCACAGGTATGTTACATTTTGTCATTGTCACCCATGTCTTATGACCCCTTTGCTTCTCTGTTAACTGAAGTACCTATTTCCGAGTATTCTGTGCTTCCCCCTTTGCTTGATGTTGGGGACCATGCAGAGCATTTTGAGATTCAATTATAATTCGGGTTTAATATGGCATGCCCCCCACATATGGCCAAAGGTCATGCTTTGGCTTATCATTGTTTGGAAATCTTATCTGGATGGCCAACAGTTAGATTTGCTTCTACACCTTTAGGGTTGAGACCTTGACACATCTGTTAATTTTTTACAGGCTCAGTTTGCATGCCTTCATTTATTCTTGACCACACTCCTACGTTACTTGTCATCCATACCCCTTTTGTCAGAGGCTTTCCACTGTTCTCCTGAAGTATTTTTGGTGGAAGCTTGTACCTTAGTCCTTACCACTTTGTCCAGATTGTCCTCTTCTGCCATTTCCCTACTCACCTGACTCTTGTCCTGTTGGGATCTCTTGAGTATGGATGCACTGTTGACACATATACATCTTCCCCTACCTCCTTGCAAGATCTTCAATTGGCCTCTTTTTTGCAACCAACTGTTTTGGAGGGCTTCCCGGCTTATTGGAGTCTTAGGTGGAATCCACCCATTTATACACTTTCCTGTTCTCTCTGATCTCTTGTTTGTCTCAACCGTTTTATCCTATCCCTGTTTCTTGACATACTCTTTCCTCTCCCTTACCTGTTCCACCCTCTTGGACCATTTTATCACGACATACCATTGTTGAGGAGTTGACTCTTGACGTTACATTTCCACCTTCCTATCATCATCTGTTTCTTGTTCAATGACAACACACTCCATAGGTACTCTTCACATGCTTTTGAAAAGTGCTCATCTAAGTACTTTACACCAGTCTCTCCACATGACCAATGTGGGATTCTAGCTGTAACTGTGAGAGGAGGTAAGTGATTGTATTGTAAGTTAATATTTTCCAACATTGAAAATATATTTCCAATAGATAATTACCTCCTCTTACAGCTCCTATCTGTCCTACCCACTTCTGGGGTTGATATTTTTTTTGTGCCTAATCTTGAAGAGAGGATTGGGTTCAACTGCATAGAGGGAATTAGCTGCAATAAGAGGGTGTGTCACACACCTATTGGTGGATGATTGTCACATGTCCATTTGTATGATATAACACAGCTAAACCACATGGCATTAGGTGGGAGTTTCAAGGATAGTGGCAAGCTAAAAATTGAACAATAGAAGGCAGTCAAATCAAGGATAGCTGTAACTGTGAGAAGAGGTCAGTATCTTTTAGAATTATATTTTCAATGTAGGAAAATATTAACTTTATCTAGGATGGAGGTGGTGCATTATGGCATTTGGACATGTCATTTGGTCTGACCATGAAAACTCCATTCAGAATCTTTGAATACCCTGGAGGATCAGTGACAGGGTGTATGATGTCACCTTCATCCCATTTGTTAGCTGTGTCTGACACTAAAGGTAAACAATATATATATAAAGTGATATAAGAGTCATTCTGTCTCTTTGGGAAATAGAATATTTCAGTGAAAAATAGATTCAACAAATACTGCATATAATTACTATTTTAAAGAAGTTCACTTGTGGCTCAGCAGTAAGCTTGAGGGCTAATAATGCTAGAATTTGGGGTTTGATTCTCATGATGGATACCATGCAGCTAGCCCACTGTACAGCTTTTTCATTAAAACAAACAAAATTTTACTGAGCTAATTAATTTTTCCCTAATATATAATGTACATAAATATATATATTTTTTTAATATCTGAAATATTTAAAAAACCTTTGGCAAAAGACTTGTTTTTATAATGTTTAAATTTATTTAAGAAGTCAGATAAATTACATTTTTGGACATGTTTTATTATCACCCCCCCCTCAAACACACACAAATATATGTGTGTGCACATATACATATGTATATAAATGAAGGTCTAAAAAAATGCTGCAGATGTTTATAAAAGTGTCCTTTGAAAATTATAAATTTATTAACTACCTAGTAATTATACCCTGCAAACCACCCATTTTTTTAGAAGGAAGAAAACAACTCAAGCTTAACTCTAGAATGATTTGTGAATAAACAAAACAAGAAATAACATTAACTCCAATCTAGTATAATGGTTGTGGTTTAGACCAACCACCACATATGTTACCTTTACAGATGTCTATTCCTCTTAGTTGATATTAGTCTTAAGTTATTCCAAAAGAAAATAAAAGATTTTACAAACATTTTAAACAATTATCTGTGTGCTATCTAATCTAAGTCCTTTTTGACATTAATCATTAATAAATGGCACAATGTTTTGTATTATCATGTGGCATTATGAGTAGTTTCATTACAGTTAGGCATATTATACTAAGAAGTATGAAGTACCTTCTAATATTACAAAATAAGGTAGGCTATAGTGGCCTTTGTTGAACTTTGAGCTGGAATCTTCTGCTCTTTATTCATTTTGCTTATCTTGTGGCAACTTTTTCCAAACTTTTATTCTTCTTTTTCCTTCTTGAAATATTCCAGTGTTGGCAAAGTTGGATCCCTTTTCTTCTGATTCGAAAGTTGTTGTAGAGGCAGAATATTTTGGACTCATTTACTGGTGAATGAAGAACCACCCCTTCTGAATTTGTATGTAGTATCTTATTTTAGTTCTCATGACCTCCTTATTGTGGCAGGACACATCTGCTTAAGCACTTACTGAAATATTTGACAATCTCAAGCTTTATCTGTATATATATATATGTCTTATTACTTTTCATCCTTTGTGACTGAGCTATCAACAATTATATCACACCTTACAAAGGTAATTTGCTTCTGGCATCTCTTGGCTGAGGAGTTGTTTTATGTCATGGACTTGACCTATATTTCATGAAAGTTGTGCATGACTCTGTTTCTTTATTTTTATGTGTTTTATGATATCTTTTATTTTAGAAAACAGAGTGGTGATCAACAAGACTGAGAACATTTTGTAGTCCTATTCTACAAGTTCAAGTTTTTGCTGTTCATCCACATGCTTTTTTAGCTTTTAGTTTTTGAACTTCTCACCAGTATTTCTTTAATTTCATTCATATGGCTTCTGAAAATAAGCAATCATGATGAGGAATTACTCTGGCAAAGTCTAAGGAATCCTTATTACCTTTGACTCAAATGATCCCGGTCTCTTCGTGAGTAAACTGATTAGTCATGCTTTTAAAATTTCAGTTTTGTTATACTCAATTTTTGTCCACATGGGAGTACTTTTCATTATCTGAGGGTCAGATTTTGATAGATATGTGAGACAGTTTATTTTAAGTTTAATACAAAACTGTTTATGAATCATTTTTTGCATAGTTCAATTGTTGGGAATTGACATCATGTTACTCAAACCTTCTGAATTTCCTCGTTGCTTTAACTGAGTATTCTTACATTATAACATCTTGTAGTTTGTAGAAAGTTCTAGGTCTCAGTTGGGCACTATATATAAAAGTGACCAAGCCAGTACAAGTAAGTAAGTAAGTTTGTGAAAGTGAAAGTAAAAGTGAAGTTAGCCTGTGTGTGAATTAGCCATAACAGGCAATTTCTAAAGTGAGTTTTAAAGCTTGTATTGTAACAACAGAGTAGAGGAGATTAACTTGTCTTCTCAAAGGGTGTTCTAAAGTAATTGAACCTGCCTGTGTGGGCTTTGATGGAAAAGAGATAATTATTTAAAGCTCTGGATACAATTTTGATAACTAATAGTGTAACACATTTTTTTTAAATATGTTTGACTTGTTTTGAATATATTATTTTAAAACGAGTGGACTGTGTGCTGTCTGTTTATTGTTGAAATTTATCACCAACGAATCACAGACACCTACGTAAAGAATCTGGCTCTATGAAACCTGTTGTCATAGCATCTTTCTTTTTTTAAAATGACAGATTTATTCTGTTCATCTCTTTCTCATTTGGAGACTAGTTTCTGCAAAGAATTGACTCTTCAACTTGGATTGGGCTAGTTTTCTGCTGTGGTTTCTGACAGATCAGTTGTAATTAAAGAAATGATGTGGTGTCTAAGACTGCACAAGGAAAAAAAAACCTCACATTGTGTTAGGAGTTGCTATACAGCCTTAGCCCATGATAATTTATCTATTTATAGGTATTTTCCCAAGTGTCTGGGGTTCCATTCTGGATGAACCACAGAATCTTCAGTTACATGTTCAAATACAATTTTATGGCTTATGTCAACTGTCTGCAACTACAGTCATCTGTGAATGCAAGTTGGTTCAGTGAGAAAGCCTTAGCTTGGTGTCCTATATCCATTGCCATGGTGGCATCATATTCTGTAATCACTGTATTCTTACCTTGAAACTTTTATTGTAGGCCTGATTGTTTTTCATTTCTGCTCAGATGTGTCGTGTTCTTAAGCTCATGAACATTCTTTCTGATGAGTGTTAAGACAGTTAAACAATAATAAACAACCAACTTTTGTAATTAAACACAAATATATAATTATTCAAATATGACAGAAACTCAAACTCTAGATCTGTACAATTTTTTTCTAAGGAAACTTAACTAAAAAATGGCTCATTCTGCCAAGACAAAATTAGATAAAATTATGTTTATTAAAAGTAAATAACTGTTCATAAATAAAAATCAATGTCAACTTACACAAACGTTGGAGCCCTTTCTTCCCCTCAGACTGTTTACTCAATAATTGTCCATACATAGTGTGGATTTATTTTCCAAAATATTCCCTAAGCCTGGCACTGTACATGAATGTCTACACTTCATGGGGACCATTTTTATAGTCCATGGCACAGGCACCAATGGATATCTCTCAGGACTTGACTTACAAACTTCTTAGACAACAGTTTTATTATCCAATATTATAACTTCTTGAAGTTATCGACATGAAAACTTGTAGAATGCACTAGGACCCTTCTGTAAGCATTTAACTGTAGAAAGTCTGCAACAAAATCCAGAGAAGTTAAACTTGTATGCACAAGCAGTAACTTTCTCCATTGCCAAACACAACAGCAACTATTGTCAGCAACTGAAATGTCACAAACTAAACTAAAACTCCCTGCCTCATCTTGGTCCACTCGGGCTTTTTATACTTTCTGGGGAAGACTGGAAGTCGCATACTGTGTGTCACATTTGTAAATTTTAATGAGATAATATCACTGTGTCATCTGAAACAAAGTGACAAGCCAAGTTGTTCTAACTTATTACTCAGTTCATTACCATTAAAATCAATGACATAAAATATAATACCCATTACACAGAATATACTCTTTAGTGTAATATAAGTAATTTCATCCACAGCAAGTGCTTATTATATAGTAGTCCTTTCACCCAGGGATATTTCATTGGGCATCCTGTTGTTTAGATAATCCAAACACAGAATTTGTTTGTGACAACATTCAAGTACAAACTCTCTCATATTCTTTTTTTTGTGATTATGTTCCACCCTTTTATCCTTAGAAGGAATGTTTTTAGACATCATTGGTCTAATATTCACATTGGTTTGTATCCAGATTTCCATATATGAAACTTGGATGTTTTGAAAGTTGATAGGATATTTTTCCCTATTTTACTTTCATTGGGATGTGCACATTTTAAACCAAACAGATTAATGTGCTCTTTCTAGGCTTTGTCATTACTTCACCTTACTGAAGTCTTTTGCTTGGAGTATTACATTCAGGGATATCCTCAATATATGACAAATTAATCTTACTCTTTTGAATGCTCTTCTCACTTCCTAGATCTGTTAATATCTTTCTGCTGAGTTGCATTATTTTTTTCTGAATTACATTACATCATACTTTTCACCTACAAATGTTTTAGCGGGCAGGTTTTTATTTTCTGTTGATGAAATTTATATGAACTGTCATATGCATCTCTCTGAGTAAGTTCATATCTTTTATGTACACAGTTGGGGTTTCATCATTGACAGGGTTCTTCATGCCTCTGGCAGTAATCTTGTACATACCTTTAGGATTTAACAATGGGTAATTCTGTGTTTCTGAAATTAAAAACAGGTAATTCTATTTTACTGCCAAAACAAACTCAATGTGCCATCCCTGCTTATGGGGGCTTTAGTAACTGTCTTTCCTCATGGGTGTTTACATGTGAATATTCTTATTACTGGACACTGCCTTGATGGAGAAGTGCTATGCTATGCATCCATGTTATATACCTATCAGCTGTTTTTGGAGTCTTTTGTTCCATGATTTTTCAGTGTATTTATGACCTTCCCCAGGATATCAGCCATTGCACTACTCCACTGATGCAATTATTGGACTTTTTAATCTGGTTAGACACTTCCTTTGATATGTCATCTCTATTTTGATTTCCAAGTCACTTGTTAGTCTCATCATGTGTCCAAGATGAAACATATCACTGGTGTCAACTCTTGTTCCTCTTCCCAACAAGTGTGACATAAGTCAATGTTTTCTCCTTGCTTCAACCATTTCTTCATTATTTAGTAATGGAATTCTTGCAACATCTTCATAAGGTATTTACTCTATTTGAATTCTACATTTTGAGCATGCAACTTAGATTAAGCTGCAAAGTTGCTTCTAGATAAAACAATCTCATCATTCCTCCACTTTTCTGAAGGGCTCTGAAAAAGTGTGATTCTTGTAGCTGATATATGCTGATGGATGTACACTTAAACACAGATGGTAGTTTCTGATTAGTGGAGGAAGTCACTCATAAACTATGAGAACAAAACAAAGGGTAAACTGATGATCTTGGGATTTTAAATATATTAAATTTAAAAGAAAAACAACAAAATTCTAACAGCACCATTAAGTTATTTACAATCATATATATGATACATAGTGTTAGCCTGCACTTTTATGTATTAAAGTTCTAACTGTAATGCATTTGTATTTAAAATAGCATTAAAATGTTCAATAAAATAATTTAAAAAGCCATCATTTACTATACAAACTCAAAATTAGAAAATTCTCAAAGGTGGCTTGTAAGTTCATTTTGAAGTTTTATCTTCCTTACTAGATGTTATAAATCTGAGTATGTATGTACACACGTATACATACAATGATTATCCAAGCTATTATTGCTAGCCTTATGTATTTTTTACAGAGGATTTAGGCAGTATGTTCGATGTTGTGTACTGAGTTTTCCATGGATGGCTCCTACCATTTCTCTCTCTTTCAAGACAATGTTTTTGGCTTCCTGGTTTGCCTTCTTCACACACCTGTGTTTTGTGAAAAAAGGAGAGATTTAGAGGCACTAGTGCAGCTCTCCGATAAATTTTGATGGTCTATGAGTAGGTTGTTAAATCCTGTTTGTTTATGCAAAGTTGCTGTAGAATTTGGTTCCAGATATTGCTAGTTTCTAAGCCTTGATTTCTGTAGCTTTTTGGTTTATTGATCCTTTTTTCTGAGAGCTTCTTTAATTTTCCTAGATTTCCAGTGTTGTGCAGTACTTTAAAAAAATTGTTTATTTGTACTATTGAAATGAGTGTCCTGTATTGTAAGAGTGTTCAGCTGTGGGAGATTTTACTAAGTATATGAACCTTTTTTTCATCAGCATGTTCTTTTAGCCTCTGATTGATTGTATAGTACAGGGTGGTGTTATGTGCCTATTACTCCATTAGTTAATATGTAAACTTCTTAAAAATTACTGTTGTTTTTCAGTGTTATTAGTTTGAATGCTGAGTTTCACTCAAGTAATATTTTAACATTCCCTGTTTTGAAAGCATGCATAGATTTGCCAACTGGCAATAAACTGACTTCTCATGCAAGGAAGATAGCTCATGACATCCAGAAATAAAATGTTATCTTTCCTGTTGATGAGGCCTGGCTTGTTAGGGAGCTCAACCTGCAACCCACACAAATCCCCTTCCCACCAAATATGCTTGCCCTTTCAGCAGTGGGGCATTATAATGTGATGGTCAACCCCACTATTCTTTGGTGAAAAAGTAGCCCAATAGTTGGCAGTGGTTGGTGCTGACTAGCTGCCTTCCCTCTAGTCTTTCACTGCTAAATTAGGGACAGGTAGTGCAGATAGCCCTGGTGTAACTTCATACAAAATTTAAAACAAATCAAACCAATACTGTTGATGAATTGGATAAAGGTCAGGGCACCTCACTTGACTCTGAGTAGGAACAGATCTTGTAGATGAGCTGCATTTCATGTGCAAGTATGGATTTGCTTTTGTCGTTTCTGTTTGAACTTAAAGTTGTGTTTACCCTTGTAAGACAGAATTTGAAGATATTTTTCAAGATGATACACACCTCTTCACACAATTATGCTATCTTCCCTGTGTGTTTGCCTTAGAGATTTGCATGTCACTAGCCTTTAGACAACTCCCACCTAATATCACGAGATTTCTAGTGAACTATACTACTGCATAATGAATTATCATGCAGCATAAGTCCTTCACTAAAAGGAGGGTGGCACACTTCCTTTGCACTAACTCTGTCTATGCTTTGGCACTCGTGAATCTTCATTTTTTTCCCTCAGCACTGAACACATCAGACGTGTTTTTCTTTTGCAATTTAGAGTTCAGTTGAGTTGAGATGAGCATGCACTAATAAACTGTTCCCTCCTTCTGCAGCTGATTCAGTAGAGTCTAGGTGAGCACACTCTACACACATGACCTCTCCTGTTGCAGACAACACTAGTTCAGTTAAGTTGAGGTGAGCATGCACTACTAAACCATTGCCTCTTGTTTGTTTGTTTTTGAATTTTGCGAAAAGCTACACGTGGGCTATCTGCGCTAGCCGTCCCTAATTTAGCAGTGTAAGACTAGAGGGAAGGTAGCTAGTCTTCACCAACCACCGCCAACTCTTGGGCTACTCTTTTACCAACTAATAGCGGGATTGACTGTCACATTATAATGCCCCCATGGCTGAAAGGGCGAGCATGTTTGGTGGGATGGGGATTCGAACCCGTGACCCTCAGATTGCGAGTCAAGTGCCCTAACCACCTGGCCATGCCGGGCCAGACCATTGCCTCTTCCCACAGCTGATGTCTGTTCAGTAGAGTCAAGATAAACATACTATACACTTGTGCCCTCCTCCTGCAGGTGGTGCCAATCCAATAATCTGACAATAGAGTTGAAGTAAGCATAAGGTATAGTCTGAACACTCCCCAACCATGCTACACATATTGGTTCTAAAATAAATATATTTTGTGTTGCTTTAAGTTCCATAATAGAATCAACAGTGAGATGGCTTTGCATGTTTAAGCAAGGGTTCTTTTTTTACATTTCGTCTGGTTACTATGAGAAGTAGGAACTATTATGTTAGGAAACATGTTGATAACATCAAACAGATAAGAATATCTTCTGGTTGGATAGAAATTCCTAAGTTCTGAGACAAAAATTGTGGAGTTTGTCACATGAAAACTGCTAGTCTTTCTGAGAGGAATGAATAAACAGACAAAGTGATAGACCAGTTGGTGGCAAGAATGAATCTTTTCCACTGTTTCTGTTAAGACTAATTGTGTATTGACTCTTAAAGGAGCTCAAAACATATTCTTAAAATCAAGAAAATTACACGTGAAGTCCACAGGCAGCATAAATATAAATCTTATATTTTCATAAGATACAGCTGTGGTTTCAGAATTCAAAATTATTTCACATTTCAATATATGCCATCCCAACTAAATTTAATAACATTTAATAGCATTTTTTTTATAAATGTTATATTCTTAAAACTTAAGTTATTGTGAGTTTTTAGTGATAAAAAGAATAACAATATTGATATATATGTGTATGCTTAAAAAACAGGTATTTCCTAAATTATATGGTAATTTTTACAGCTTTGGTTACTTAGCTGTTTTAGAAACCATAGAAATTAACTTAATTATGCCATGCATAATTCTAAAATAATTTAAATATCATTTTTTTAAAGGTTTCCTTGTTCATGTGTAGGTTATACTTCTAGTACTTTGTAAGTGTTCTAAGATAACAATGATGTACATTTTATACAAATACAAGTCTTTTTTACATAGTTATGTGTATTAATAAAAATATTAAATATGCAATAATTTCAGCAAAAATTTATTTGCTAAAGACATTTGAAAGAATAGCTTTATAATATCTGGAGCAGTGCTTCTGCATCAGTATTTTGTTCTTCAAAAATCACAATATAATCCAGAAATTGCAAGAACATTCTTTGAAACATTGTTTATGCTGGTTTTACTTTATTAAATGAGCATTTCTACCAGCAGTCATATTTTGTTCTTCAAAAACCACAATATAATCCAAAAATCCCAAGAACATTCTTTGAAACATTGTTTATACTGGTTTTACTTTATTAAATGAGCATTTCTACCAGCAGTCATATTTTCACTTTTCATATCAATTATTTGAATATCAATTCTGGTTAAAATATGATGTTTTTTTTAGGAATTGTGAGAATATATGACACTTTGTCAAGAGAAATGTTTTTGAAAAGATGTTTTGAAAATGGCACCACATGTCTTCTTTGGCTACCATTATCTGTAAGTTCTTCACTTTTAATCAAAATAATATGAGATTATTATAATTGTATACTTTGTTGCTTTTTTTGCTGTTTTATAAAAGTTATTTCAGTTTATTGAAAGTATTTTTTAAACGGATGTGTGTGCTTTTGTACAAATACATGTACATATATTTATGTCATGAATATCTGTATGATAATATCTTTCAGCAAAATGTTTTTAGCTTTTAAACACAAATGCCTCATGTATAAAAATTAATACCCAATTAAAAAGCAAAAATATTTGACTGTGAGCTTAATATTAATTGTGGATCCACAAAAGTTACATGAAACTTGACAATCAAAATGATGTTACAGAGATTGAGTACATTATATTAAAAGTGATTTTGGAATCTCACCACCTTATTACAGTCCATATCACTATGTTAAACCTTGCCCTATCTGACATATATCTTGACATTAGCTCTGCATATAGTTTTTATGGCAAAAAGCTTTGTCATAAAGCTGTCATGTCACAAATACATTATTATAATTCCTGCAAGGCTTTCCATAATATATTTAGTGTACTAGGACACTAGTTTCCCAGTGCCTGTTTCAACAGTCTGATTGCACAGAAATCCACAGACACTGATCTAGAAACTTGATTGGTATGTCTTTGTGTGGAATAGTAAAAATACCCATTTCATTCTCCATCTTATTGAGGTATGCAACAGTTAAATGGATATGTCATGAAAGCAACTTGTATACATAAAATCCTTCTGAATTATGTTGTCTGCTGTTGCCTGGGGTATCGGGATGGCTTTTGCCACTGACCTCTGTTGTTGTAGATTTTCAACCGTTATAAAATACTACACATTGTGTAATGCATCTGTGATATGTCTTATTGCCGGTTTCTATCTGGATGGTTCTGGTATCCCAAGCTAATCCATATACCTTTGTTTATGCAATGCCATTAAGTAAATAGGATACCTCATCTTAGAAATTCTAAATCTCTGATTTGAATACTTCTTTGTGATATGAGTGTATGAAAATTATGCATCAGAAAGTGATGTTACATACCCTTCCCAAATGCAATCAGTTTTCTATGGCTTTACACTGTCTAGGAAATGCCAAATAATGTCAAAATGTAGTTCTGATACATACTGTTCCATCATTACTTTGTATCAGTTATGGTTGTTGCTGACATTGGTTATCGTTATACTCAAAATCATTTTAATATAATGTACTACACCCTCTGTATAAAGTGAAGATTTATTTCTTCTGCACATTCAGAAAGCTATAATGAAATTATGTATTATTAAGGATTCTGTAAAGTTATTGAATTATATAATAACCTTATGCCTGCACATTAATTGCCTTCTTAATTTGTTAGGTTGATCATGAAGGAGCTTCATTTTTGGTTGGATTTGAAGATGGGGTTGTAAGGTGGTTAGCTGTTGCACCTGACCAAAGTAAAGAAAAACTACAAATTAAGCTAGTACAAGCATCTAAACCACACAGTTCCTGTTTATCATGTCTTTCCATCAATTCAACTGGCACAATGTTGGCTACAGGAGTAAGAGATGAAATATTAATAAGAACCAGTGGTTTATTTTTAACAATGAATTATTTCATTTTTGCCATGTATGCAGGATACTCTATGCTTCTGGAGTCCATTTACTTGATTCAAGTATTTCTTTATGATTAGGTATAACACCAAAGGTTGATCTGTCTACGAACCATAATATGTTATGTTATTTTAATTACCCTTCTGAGATCTTAAATTTGTAAAAAAAAAAACACATTTCAATTTCATAATATATTATTGTATAATTTTTTACATCTGTAAAGTTTTGATCCTCCAGTGGGAAAGTGGTAAGTTTACAGACTTACAATGCTGAAATCAAGGGCTTGATTCCCTGCAATGAACACAGCAGAAAGCCTAGTGTGGCTTTGCTTTAAGACAAACAAAGTGTAAGATGTTGTTATCATGATGGATGACACATGTTTCAAAGATTTAAAGAAATAATAATGCTGAAAATGTTTTGACTTTCTCATTATAAACCTATTAATTATCATTCTTGTGTATTTTAGTTCTATAAAGTAAAACATATGTGTTCAGTTTGAAAGAAATATAGACTATAACACCAAAGATATTGGGACAACATGTCCTTACTTAGTACCGAGCCCATCCCCATTAAATTCACAAATGAATTGTACAGTGCACAGCTACAGTAGAGTATATTAAAGCCAATAGTTGTAAAAGCCAGCAAGCTGGAATCAAGATGCTCTAAATAAAAAAAAAACATGGGAAATTTCAAATATAAATGATTTTTAGATGCAGAAACATTAACATAAATGTCCAAGAGACTTCAGTCTGCCTACTCATCCCAAATATACTCTAAGCAATGTGCTGAAGGGATGTAAGACCATTGGATGTGCACCTGAAATTAATCATTCTTCTGTTTATATGAGTTTTGAAACTTGTTTATAAAATAAACTATATAAATGGTAATTAATCTCCTATTCAGGAGTTTAATGAGAGTTTTAGTTCTACATGTCAACACGCATGTTGTGTGCAGGGTGCTCTATGCTGCTGGAGTCCATGAAAAACTTGCAATATTAAGTTACTCATCATATCGATGAATGTAATACTTTAGCTCTCAAAACTATGTTAAAGAACAATGGAAACTATCATGGTGAGCAAAAAGATCTAGTTTAATACTCATTTTTTACTTTCAGTGGATGAGTCTGAATATGATAAAAACTGGGAGAATATTTTGTAAATGACTGTATCATTCTAATGAAGAGTGGTTGGTAGGATCATGGTGTGAGCATATTTTAACTGGTTCAACTTTGTCGACTGCTAACTGTAATATTCTGGATAATAATACGCAAACTGCACTGATGGAATACTGATTGCGGTTAAGAATCTTACTTCTTTTAGCTTGATAAAGTATGCAATGACCAGTAGTAGATGAGACAAAAAAGCACCAAGTATTTGCTTTTCTCAGCTCAAAAACATGACCTTAATTCAACTGAACTCCTCTGGAATGTGTAGGAATCCTGCTGCTAATATCTCATTGTACTTGAAACTGCTTTGCAAGATTATCTAATTGAAGGTAGTATTTAATAAAAAGCATCACCATCATTCTACCAAAATTAAGGATGTATAATATGTATTTATCTATATATGTTGTTTTTTGTTATTAAAGAATATTTGATGTCAAAGTATTGTGGCTGGGAGTCACATTAAAGTACTGTTATTTCTAAATTTAATGTACTTGTTGTTGTTTTTTATTTAGGAGCAAATGTTAAGTACATTTTTTTCACTGTTGTTTTCAGTAAAGATGAGTAGTAGAAGACTGCTATGTAGCCAATAGTTTAATTTTAGAATGTCACATTTTGTTTGAATATATCTCTAATACAATATTTAATTAACCTAGCATTTATTAGAAATCACTGACCACCATTTTTTAAAAATAACATTAAGCCAATCATAGTTACATATAAGTGCTTCAAATGAAATTAATAAATTCAATTTTTAGTAAAGATGAGTTGTATAATGTTGTTATTTAACCAAAATGTCAGGCTAGGGTATTCTTTGTAAAATTTTATTTGCAGTTTTTCAGACATTATTTTTGACTTAGCTAGCCTTGATTATAAATCAGTAGTATAAATAACAGCAATTTAAAAATTTTATTAGATATAAAACCTGAATTAAAGTAATACACACAACTTATTTATATCTGATTTACTTTTTGATATTTGTTAATTGAAAAATTTGTTTCAAAATATTGTTAAATGCTATTCCATTGCCTAGGAAGTACAAATTATTTTTAAAGTGCTTGGAAAGTAGAACCTTTCAAGTTATTTATTTCTCTTTTAATTTTTAAATACATCTTAGTATTCGTATTTTACAAATTAATTTGTAAATATTTTAAACTATAATTGAGTTGTCTAACTAGCTAAGAGATACAGATAAGAGATAAGTATTCATATAGTTGACCTTTTGATTTAGAAAATAAATAAAATTATAATTTCAGAAAAATACATTAACAATTACTTGTCTTGCTTTATTTTAATAAGAAGTTATATTTCGTGCAGTATTTGTTTGTGACTTTTAACAGTTCAAAACAGTAATAAAAAAAGAAAATACAATAATCACTCAGCAGCTGGTGGGAAATAATTATATTGTCATATAATATTAAAGTGTATATAACTTATAATTTGAAAGGATTATGTTAATAAAAAATATTTAAGAATTGTATTTAAGTAAATAAAAATTTAAACTAATTTTTCTCTTTCAGAGTTATGATCACACCATTTTCTTCTTTCTTATTTCCTCACAAAAATTTTCACCACTTGGGTTTGTTCATATTGGTAGTCCAGCTATTCATTTGGTATGGATACAATCATCATGGGTAAGTAATTTTACATTCAAGCTCATAAGTAAATTTTTATTACAAGTAAATAAAAGATTCTTGTAGAAACTTACATTAACTCTGCAGTGCAAAACTTGCAATGTAAGAACCATTTGTCTTTGTTTTGTTTTTTTAATTATGCACAAAGCTACACAAGGGCTATCTGTGCTCTGCCCACCACAGGTATTGAAACCCGGTTTCTAGCGTTGTAAGTCTGCAGATATACCGCTGTGCTACTGGAGGGCAAACATCTGTCATTTACACTGATATACTTCATATAAAACATACTTTTCTTTATCTTTTTGAATACTTTTCTGCATCGCATATAACTTTTCCAGAGTTGAATATATTTAATTGCAGCATATGTGCCCCCCAGTGGCACAGCGGTATGTCTGCGGACTTACAACGCTAGAATCCGGGTTTCGATATCCGTGGTGGACAGAGCACAGATAGCCTGTTGTGTAGCTTTGTGCTTAATTACAAACAACAGCATCATATGTATAGGCTTTTAACTTTTATAATTAATTTTTCTAACTTCATATACAGTTGTTTAAATTTGATAAAAGAGTTAGCACAAAGGATCACATATAAAGTGTAATAAACTTAAAATAAGATCCAAAACTCGAGCGCTTTCGAATAGCTGACTATTCTTCTTCAGGAGAACAAAGAAGAATAGTCAACTATTCGAAAGTGCTCGAGTTTTGGGTCTTATTTTAAGTTTATTACAGTTGTTTAAACTTTCATCCATCCCACTCTTTAATGCTACCTATTTACTGCCATTGTTATTTTTTATATATAATTTCTTTGGTTTTGCTAATATTTATTAGTTTTATTAGTTAAGTTCTGATGTCTTTAACTTTAACAGTTGTATCTCACAAATAAATAAAACTGTGGTCCTTGTAAATGTAAATGTAATACTTGAATAGTGCTTTTTCTATGACATGTGCTACTTTAGAATCTTATACTTGCATTAGTGAGATGCACACATAAGAAGGCTATATTTGGTTGTATAAATCTGACCACTTATCTTGTAATTACTAGAAAGAAATTAAAAAATTGGAAAATATCATGTTTTTATATACCACTAGAATTAGAAAACCCATTCATATAAATAGCCTTGCCTAAAAGGAAATGTATTTATACAGCAAGTTCTGTGTTTAGCTGCTCTGTAGTGCCTAAAATGTACTAAATGTCTTTACCAACTGATACATATGTGTTATTTTCAGATTAAAAGATTTGTAAAGGTATTAGCTAGATCCACTTTAATGCGAGAATCAGTCAGGATAATTATATGGTAAATCCAAACTTAGCTAAACTGACTGAGTTATGAGCTAAGAAAATAAACAGACTGGACATGTTGTGTAAAATGAAAAACAATATGTACATTAAAAACCATGGAGAACTGTATGAATCCAATGCTTCATACTTTTTTTAACAAGAAATGTCAGCTTTACCTATAATGACTTGCACTACCCACACGACAGATCATTCTCATATGACATAGTTAAGGCTGTAATCTCTAGGTAGCATTTACTTGGCCAGTGAAGAAAACTGCACAATGTGAGATGCTACAGCAATATCTTTGTGGGTGGGACAGGTATTATTTCTTATTGGAGAACAACAAAGGTAACTAGAATGAAACTAATTTTAGCAGTTTTCTGAACCATGTTATTATTTCAGAACATGTGCTGATCATGTGACTTCCCTCCACCAACAATATTTCGCCATCTAAGGAGACTCATCATTGGTCTGTCCCGGCTGTATGTTTATCTGGAGACACCTTGCTTCACCATGGAGTATTTTCTCTCACTTTGGTGGTTTTTTTTCCCAGTGACTTTGGATGACCAAGTTCGATGTGACAGATGCCTCTCTTCATATTCCAATTGCCCCATAGTCACGTCATTTTCTTCAGTTCATCCACGAGGGTTCTGTCTTCCAGTTGTGGGTGCTGCTGTTCAATCTTTCTTCAGCTCTGTATTTGTTTTGTTGAGTAGTGTGCTCTTTTACACATCATCTTCACTTGCTGGGTCTTTAGACTCACCATTCCATAGATGACTGGCTACTGTTTGCCTCTTCCCATGCCCAGTCAGTCACTCACACCCACTTACTTCTTCAAGAAGCTGCTTTACAACCCCTATGCATTATCTTATTTATTTGGGGTTCACTTCAGTTCCTATCTCAGTCAGGCACAGCCTTTTCCACTTTGGTTCTGGGATAAGGAGCAGGCAGTCACGATTGCCCTACCTTCTCCTTCTCATTGTGTTCCTTTCAATGGATGCTTCTCGACCAGTGTAACTTTTCCCATGATCCCTTGGACCATCCCATCACCCTTCCACCTGGGATCAGGGCCAACATTGCTTGGTGGCTCGACAAGTACTTGACCATGGTGGGGGTTCCCATTCCACTGCCTCATCCCAAGTCTCATCTGTTCACAGGTGCTTCTTTGGTGGGTTGGGGCTTTTCCTAGATTCCAAAGAGATTTCAGGTTGGTGGTCAGTCGAGGAGGCTACTCTCCATATCATCATCCTGGAACCTTTGGCTGTTCATTGGGTACTGTATCATTTCCTCTCACTCCTGTGGTTCATTCTGACAATTCCATTGTCATTACTATATCACCAATCAAGGGGGAACCAAGTCCAGTTCTGTGTTTTCAGACTCTGAATCTCCTGTACTAGGCCAACGACCATGACATGACAGTTCTACCATGTCATGTTCCTGGAATTATGAATCTTGTGGCCGATCACTTTTCTCATCCCAACCAGATTCTCCCCACAGAGTGGTCCCTTCATTCTTGAGTATTTCTGTGGATGTGTTCTCAACTGGGAACACCGCATAGGGATATGTTTACCACTTGCTGGAATGCCAAACTTTCTTCCTTTAGGTTTCCAGTTCTTCACCCCTCAGCTCTGGGGATGGATGCTTTCACTCAAGATTGGAGGGGTCTTTACATATATACCTACCTTCTGATCAAACTCCTCTACAGAGTTATTTTCCTTATCCAGACCACTCCTTGTCGTGTTCTGCTGGTGGCTTCATATTGGCCAGCTCAGGCGTGATTCCCTCTGCTCTGGCCCTTCCTCCCCTTACCTCTGTCCCAATTGCTCCTCTGATAACCTCAGTCGGATGTATTTCATACCAACTTAGCCAAACTCCATCTTCACGCTCAAGGACTCATTCCTCGTGTAGCATCTTTCCTTGCCCATACCATTTGCCCTTCCTCCTTGTCTATGTATCAGAGGTGTAGGTCTTACTTCAGACTTTGGTCCATTCACTGTGGCTTCTAACCATCCCATCTTTCTGTTCCTTACCTGTCCCAGTTTTTCACCTGGTTATTTGATCATGATTTGTCAGTTTCAACTGTTGCTCATTATAGGGCTGCTCTATTGAACACGTTCCATTCTACTGCTTATGGAAAGCTTTCTCCTCCTCAATTATTCCCCTTCTTTTCCATTCCTTTTGTCTGGTCCATCTGCCATGTTGCTTTGTTCTGCCGGATTGGGTTCTCAATGTTGCCCTATCCAGTTCTCCTTTTTAACCCATTACAATGTGTTCCTTGTACCATCTTTCCCTTAAGACCTATTTCCTCACCTTCCTGACATGCAGTCATCATCATTCTGATATTTATGCCATTAATGTTTCCTGCATCCTTTACCACTCCTTGTATGTTATACTTTTTCCAGATCGGGCCTTCCTTCCCAGGACATCGGCTGCCCTGAAAAGTTGTTTAGCCTATTCTCCTATTTTATTACCTTCCCTTTCCCACTTGTACTCCCATTCAGGTCCGAATCAACTACCTTGTCCAGTTCGTTCCCTACTATGTTATATGGTTCTTACTGCCTCCTTTCATGGTTTTCGTTTCTGTCTATTTGATCCATGGAATTCCTGAGTTTCCCATGATCTATCACCTATTATGCCCAGTGGTTGGGTTTGTCAACTCATACAACTGGCATATTCTGACTTGTTTATGGAAGGTTTCCATCTATATATATAAAATTTTCATTTGCACCAATTCGTCATCCAACTATGTATTTAGCTGCTCAAAACTGATGTCCTTTGGCGGAGATTGTTCAGGCTGGTATGTGGACAACTCCCAACACATTT